CGCCATACAAGGTTTGTATGATTATGGGGATACCTTAATTTGCTCGTTTTCAGTTTTCTTTTCCATATTCTATCATTAAGGAAGAATATGGCACTCCTAAGGACGATAGAATCTTTACGAACTAATAATGAACAACTAATTGAATTATTGAAAATCAGAGGTTATCTGAACAAGTGGATACTATGACAGACAAAATTGACTCCATATCCAAGGGCACTAGAAAGTTACCTGAAAGGGTTCAGGCTGTTGAATTTGACATTCAGACTTTATCACAAAGTTTTGATAAGGTAACAGACAGAATGTACCTCCAAGATGGGAATCTACATGATATACAAGAAAAGTTTAAGGAGGACATGTTATCTTTGAAGGAAAAAATTAAAGCTTTGGAATCACAGGTGCAGAATGGGGACCAAAAAATTGATACCTCAGTGAAATCACTGGAAACATATACAGGTCAGGAGATTCAGGATTTAAGAGAGACAATGATAAAAAGATTTGAAAAGATTGGAGAAATTATTGGAGCTGGTGAACAGAGTAAGGAGGCACAAAGACAGGATACAATGCCTCCACCAGCTATTAGAACTGGCTTACCCAGGGTTCTAGCGACATACCCTATACTTAATTCTGACAAAGCATCAACTTCTAAAGGCTCAAAGGGAGTCAAAGAAGCTAGATGGACGCCAATAGCAATGAATGATCTGAAAGAAATTAAGCAAGCTGTTGTTAATTTTGGCTTGCACTCTGCATATGTAAAGGAAATGATAAGGACTTGGGCTTCTAATGCTAGAGCTACCCCCCATGATTTCCATCAGTTAGTGTCTGCAGTTTTAGATAATGGACCTTCCTTGATGTTTGGAATTTATTTCAGAGAAGAATCCAAACATATGGAACAGCAAGGGAGAGCAAAAGGTGTTAAGGTTTCCCAAGATCAAATTCTTGGTTCAGGAGAATATGCTGATCCACAGGTCCAAGCTCTTTATGACAATGAAGTACTGTGTCTGTGTCACCAAGCACCTTTAAATGCTTGGAATAGGATACAAGATCCAGCAAAAAGGGTTGAATCATATACCAGAATTAGGCAGGGACAGAGAGAACCCTTTATTGACTTTTTGCAAAGATTAATTTAAGGCTCTGGACATAGGGGTAACAGACCCAGAAGCTAGATGAATACTTCTTGAATCTCTAGCTTTTGAGAATGCAAACATAGAATGCAAAAGGATAATTGGGCCTTTAAAATCTAGATCAGCACCTATGGATGAATGGATTCAGCATATGATGAACGTTGAGACGCTTAGCTATAATGATGAATCTTGGGTAGGAGAAGAGATTTCCAAAGCAATAAGGAGACATCAAACTGCCAGGTGTTTTAATTGTGGTAAATTAGGACATTTGCAAAGGGATTGCAGGAAAAGAATTTCTAGGAATAATATCTCTTCTGGGAATGACAAAAATAGGAGACCTCGGCCTTCAGGTATATGTAGGAGATGTGGTAAAGGTCAGCATTGGTCCAACGAATGCAGGTCAACAACAGACAGATGGGGCAATCCGATATCATCAGGAAATTCCTTGGGGGGGCCTCTCGCAGGCCCCCAAGCCAACAGTGGCCCAGTCATTCCCAGTCACAGTGGAGAACGTGCCTCACCAAGAAAATTAAAATCTCCAATTTCTGCTGTAAAAAGTAATACTGGTCTAAATGATGAATTACGTGTGGAGGATGAGTCAAAAAACCCAGTAGGACAGAGTAAACGTATATTTTGGGAGACTTCTATTAACAATCAAAGACCAAAGCCAAGAGTCTGTATAAATGGCACTTTTATTGAAGGCCTATTAGATACAGGTGCGGATGTAAGTATCATTACTCCAGAATCTTGGCATCCGAATTGGCCTCTTCAAGAGGTAGATGTTCAGTTCTTGGGAATTGGAACCCTATCTCGTGTAAAACAAAGCACAAGATGGGTTGAATGCATAGGGCCCGAAGGGCAAATATGAAGAATAAGGCCATATATAGCCAATAGTGTCATAAATTTATGGGGCCGTAACCTGCTACAGCAATGGAATACCCAGATTAACATTCCGGTAGTTCCAGGAACTCATAATTCTGGGAAGGATATGATGAGGTATTATGGAAAAAGGTCACCAGCCATTTAGGCTGTACAAGAACATACAGCAAATACCAAACCTTTAGAGATACCAACAGCCCTACCTTTAAAATGGCTAACTGAGAAGCCAATATGGATCAAACAGTGGCCTCTAGCTGAAGATAAATTACAGGCATTGGAACAGCTGGTGCAAGAGAAACTAGATGTTCACCATATTGAAGAATCAACCAGCCCTTGGAATTCTCCTGTGTTTGTTGTAAAAAAGAAATCTGGTAAATGGAGAATGGTGACAGATTTAAGAGCTGTCAACAAGGTAATTCAACCTATGGGCCCACTACAATCTGGAATTCCTTTGCCTTCTCTATTACCAAAGGGATGGCCTCTTATAGTTATTGATTTGAAAGATTGTTTTTTCACTATACCGTTACAAGAAAAGGATAGAGAAAAATTTGCCTTCACAGTGCCTACTTATAATAATTCTCAGCCTAATAGGAGATATCAATGGACTGTCCTCCCACAGGGTATGCTCAATAGTCCTACATTGTGCCAATATTTTGTAAGTAAGCCATTGGAAATAATTCGTAAACAATTCCCCAAGTCCATAATTTATCATTACATGGATGACATCTTATTATCTGATTCAAATAAAGATATTTTAGAAAGGATGTTTGAAGAAGTAAAGAAAGTCTTGCCTAAGTGGGGATTACAAATTGCCCCTGAAAAGATTCAAAGAGGAAATTCTATTAATTACCTAGGTTACAGAATAGGGTTAGAGAAAATTAAAACGCAAAAGGCACAAATTAGGAGAGATGGGTTAAAGACTCTTAATGACTTCCAAAGATTGTTAGGAGACATTTCCAGTCTACGACCAGCTGTTGGGATAACACCTGATCTAATAGTTCATTTAAACAAAACCTTAGATGGTGATAAAGATTTGAATAGTCCAAGAAAACTGACAGCTGAAGCAGAAAAGGAACTGACAATGATTGAGGAAAAATTACAGGAGGCACATGTGGATAGGGTGAACCCAAATCTTAGCTGCATCCTAGTCATATTGCCTTCCAGAATTTCTCCTACAGGGATTCTAATGCAGAGGGAAGATATTATTTTAGAGTGGATATTTATACCTAATAAACCAAGTAAAAAATTAAAAACTTATGTGGAAAAAGTCTCTGAATTAATTATAAAAGGTAAGCTGAGACTTCGTCAACTAGCAGGTATAGACCCAGCAGAAATTATAGTGCCTTTTACTACTGAAGAAATAAAAAAGTTATGGGAAGACAATGAACCGTGGCAAAGAGCTTGTGCTAATTTTTTGGGAGAAATTAATAGCAACTATCCCAAAAGTGGTAGACTTAACCTCATAAAGAGAACTTCTTGGATTCTTCCTAAAATTGTACGTGATGCTCCAATAACTGGAGCCCGTACGTTCTATACTGATGCGAATAAATCAGGGAAAGCAGGTTACAAGTCAGATGAATTGAGTAAGGTGGAACAAAGCCCTTATAATTCTGTCCAGAAGGCAGAATTATATGCCATTCTTATGGTGCTAAGGGATTTTAAAGAACCTCTTAATATAGTTACAGATTCACAATATGCAGAAAGAGTTATCTTGCATATTGAAACCGCTGAATTTATACCAGATGACACAGAGTTGACTTCATTGTTTATCCAGGTACAAGACATAATCAGGAACAGGCTTTGTCCGATGTACATAACACACATCCGGTCCCATACAGGTCTGCCTGGTCCTCTAGCCCAAGGCAACGCTGAGATTGATCAATTATTGATTGGAAGTGTGTTGCAGGCCTCAGAATTTCATAAGAAGCATCATGTCAATAGTAAAGGCCTAAAGAAAGAATTTTCCATTACTTGGCAACAAGCTAAGGACATTATAAAGAGATGTCCTACTTGTTCTTTCTATAATCAAACACCGTTGCCTGCAGGGAGTAACCCAAAGGGTACTAAGAGAAATGAAATCTGGCAGATGGATATGTTCCACTTTATGGAATTTTGTAAATTAAAATATGTACACCACACCATAGACACGTATTCAGGTTTTCAATGGGCTACTGCCCTGAGCTCAGAAAAGGCTGATTCAGTAATCACAGTTATTGGAAGTTATGGCCATCATGGGTATGCCTGCACAAATAAAGACAGATAATGGTCCAGCATATGTATCTAAGAAAATGAAACGCTTTTTTGATTATTATAATATAAAACACATTACAGGTATGCCAAATAATCCTACAGGTCAGGCAGTTATAGAAACATCAAATCGTACTATAAAGGATATGCTGAACAAACAGAAAGGGACCGAAAATACCCCAGAAATAGATTACATAATGCTTTATTAACCTTGAATTTTCTCAACGCTAATGAGAAAGGAACGATGGCGGGAGAAAGACATTGGATAATGGAAAAGTCTGCTGAACTAAATCAACCAGTTTATTTCAAAGATGTGGAAGCCAGGAGATGTGCTACGTTGGGGAAGGGGTTTTGCTCTTGTTTCCACAGGAGAAGAAAAATTGTGAATACCATCAAAATTAATAAAGTTTCGATTTGAAGAGGAGAGACCTCTTGGAAAGGAGAAATGACAACTCATCCACAATGATGATATTCATACAGGTCGTAAGAAAAACATATAGAATGGGGGCACGGTTCCGTTCTTATCTCCAAAGGAAAACACTCATCTTTGAAAAATTCAAGGGACTCTGGATGTTTGGATACTGACAGATGGAAAAATACCTGCCCAATAGGAAATATCAAGAAAACTGAATGGGTTGTGTAAGTAAAATATATTAAACCACATTTCTAAATTTATAGAGCTGGTTTTGAAGTTGGACTCTGGCTCAGTCCCTCTCCAATTCCAAGCCTGTTAGTAAGAGAAAAATCCAGTTTCTGGAGTTTCTGTCTCATGTCAAGAGCCATGATATGGGACAGAAAGAAATATGAGTTTAGAAAACATCTTTGCTTTTCTTCATATCTATCATACTTTTCATTGAATATATCTATCATGCCTTTCATTGAATATATATATGCCTATATATGTCTATATGATTAATGTTTAAGTTTTTCACAATAAACAATGAGTTTTTCCTGAAGTGACATTTGAAGCTTCCAGGAAGAAGATGGGGCCCCATAACAACAACTCCACCTGGTTGATATGACGTCATGATACTGATAGCACTACTACAAGACCTGTTTGGGGTACCAGCTGCACAGGACGATCCCAATTTGGTTAGCTGAAATGGTGCACATCTTATACAACATTTTGGCCAGACCTGCACAAAATACTCAGAGACTATTTGCAATTTTAAAAGACATTGATCTTGAAATTTAACCATCATTTTACTTTCACAGGATCCCCCAGAAAGAACGTCACCCCCATGACAGCTGGAAGTAATTCTAGAGGACGACGTCCCCTCTCCCAGTAAAGTTTGCCCTTGGGTTTAGGGACATCATTTAGGTGTTGATTATAATTAGTATACGGTTGAGGGTTGTGGGAGGAATTTTATAAGCTCAGGGATCATTTTGAAAAAAAAAAGAGGGATGATGGGATAATAGATTTGTAATTGTGAGTTACTGTTTTTAGACAAATATATTGGTATCGATTCTTGTATATTGATACAAAATTAAATTATATTGACTATTGTATGCATGCATGTTTCTACCTCTGTTTAAAATATTTTTATGTATTGACATATATTGTATTGATATATATATTGTATATATTTACCATATTGCAGTGTACATTTCTACCTCTGATTAAGATACTTATATATTGTTTGTGTATTGATATATATTTACCATTCTGCAATGTATATTTGTACATTGTTTATATTTTGAAGTCATTGTCCTCATTTGTTTCACAGTCGTTTATTGTCTTAGTCTTTAAGTTAGATAGATATTGAGAATTATACAGATTAATAGTCATCTAAGTTTGTCATTTATAATTAGACTAATCAGGTTCTTTAGATATATAGAGATTATACTCAGTATAGACAGATAATCTTCAACCTCTTCAATCCTTCAACCTCAACCAAAGAGCTGTAGAAAATGGCCTTTAATCTAACTCAGAGTTTTGTGGTAGTGAGACACAATTGCTCCTGGCAACACCACTCTATTCCCGAGAGAATGTTGAGCACCAAAGACACTCCACCTGGAGCCTTTCTTTTTGGCAGAACTGGCCTTTGGGCAAATAAATGCCCATACCTCAACCACTGACAGAGATACAGAGCGTGTATCAATGGATAAAACAGGACTGTCATATCCTGCCAAGACAGGGTAAGATAGTTTTGAAAAGCTGCTTGCCTTTGAAAATGGTATGTCAGTTATGTTAGGCCTTAGCCAAAGTTGGTTGCTTCAACGCTGCAAACATGACTTTGGGTGATTGCCCAGGTAGCTAGTTGTCTCTGTGATTTGTTGCATATTTTGGAAGTTGTTTTACTGAACTTCGTAATTACCAGGTAACATTATTTCCCTTCTCAGATCTTTGATGGGGTTGAAGACTATATAAATGCAGTTACTTTTCTCTCATGACTTGGCCAAGTTATTTATTATACAAGACCTAAGCTAGTTAGAATAGGATATTTGTACTTATTGTATATAATTTCATAGTAGGTTTAGAACTCTCTTACTTAAACAAAAGGGGGAGGTGTTGCGGGAGGTCCTTCCGCTCCTCCAGCCTATAGCCACTGAGATACCAGCCCAGTGGGGTGTGGTCTCTCTCCCTTTAAAAAAGCGGCTACTTCCCTTCTTGCTTTTTTGCTTCCTGCTCCGTTTCCGGCGACTAGGCTCCTTCCTGAAGATCCCAAACATTTAAGGACTACTCTGTCTGGTGGTTTCCTTCATAGTAAGAGTTATTTTTTTCTCCTTGGTGTTGGTATGCACCTTTAATCCCAGCGCTCAGGAGAGAGAGAGAAAGAGAGAGAGAGAGAGAGAGAGAGAGAGAGAGAGAGAGAGAGAGAGAGAGAGAGAGAGAGAGAGAGAGGACAGCCCAGGGATACAGGAAAAAAAAAAAAAAACATGTCTTGGAAAAAAGAAAGAAAGAAAGAAAAAAGACCTTTTCTGGCTTGTCCCCAGACTCTGCTTCCCTACTTGAATTGATGTCATTGTTCCTAAGTTGTTCCTCAGTTCTTCATTTCACTGGGCTTGAACCCTAGTCCTGTGTCTGGATGCTAGGCAAGTGTTCTATATTTAGCTAGATCCCTACACTAAGTTGGCCAGGCTAGACTTTCACTTGTGATGCGAGGTATTTGGATTACAGATGTGTAGGCTGGCCTCAAACTCCCGCTATAGCTGACTCTCCTGACTAACCCTACTCAGGTCACAGGCACTCACCACCAGCCTGGCTTTATGCCATGCTTGGCATGTTATTCAGGGCCTCTATCAACTGAGCACGTGCGTTCTGCCACCCCAACTCAGCAGCCTTCAGTGAAGGGGAGGGAAACAGACTGATTTAAGTAATGTACAGTTTGATTATATTTTGCTGAGAGCTACAAAGGCTTGGCCAATTCCTCCTCAGGTTAAGGCCACAATGCCATGTTCCTATTAGAACAACTCAAGTCAACTGTCCCAAGGGGAAAGAGAATGTCCCTTCTGCTGAGAAGAGTTCTGGCTGGACTGTTTTCCTTCACACGGATGGTACAATCTGACAGCTCACCAAGAGGCACTGGCCTCATTCACATTCCACAGTAGAAATGGCCTTTGAAGCATGGAGTCTCTACAGGCATGTTTGATAATTCTGGATCTTGATTGATTAAAATGACACCCAATTCATAATTCTTTTTTTTATAATTCTTTTTTATTTTTAAGATTTATTATATATACACGTGTACCTGCAGACCAGAAGAGGGCACCAGATCTCATTATAGATGGTTGTGAGCCACCATGTGGGTGCTGGGAATTGAACTCAGGTCTGCTGGGAGAGCGGAAGGGCAGCCAGTGCTCTTAACCTCTGAACCAAATCTCCAACCCCCCGTTTCATAATTCTTAGTAGGAAGAAAATAAGATTAACTTGTATAGTGAGAGCATTCACTCAGAGATCTGGAGGGCAGGGTGAATAATCTTTAACCAAAGAAAAACCATTTTGAGTGACTTTTCTTCTGGTTATGCCATTGAAATTGTAGCGCCAGCTAAAGCTAGTGAAATTCGAGGAACAATTTTTAATCCTAACTTGAGCCTACCTAACATTAACAGAAATCCAACATTTTCAGTCTTGAGTCGAGTCTTGTACATCACAGTGACTGTCACAGGAGACAAGGACTCCTGAAAGTTAATGGTGCCCATCTGGGGACTGCTCTGAATCAGAAGCCAACCTGGGCTTCGTAACAAGTATCTGCCTACCTAAGGCTACCCAGCAAGATCCTGTCCCAAGAAACAAAATATAAATACACAAAATTCCTATGTATCATGTTTTAAAGATTTTATTATTTTTAGTTATGAGTGTGGAGCATATGTGTCTGCACGTAGGCGCATGCTCGCGAGTGCAGGACCAGGGCTCGACCCCCAGTGCAGTGGAGTGCAAGGAGGCCTGGGGCACTGGAGCTGGTGTGACTGTGGTGTGTGTGTGCTGGGATGAACTCAGGTCCTCTGGAAGAGCCACTTCTCCAGCCATCTCTCCAGCCCGAGACTGGAAAGGCTAGAGAGATTCAGTGGTAAAGAGTGCTTACCGCCTTGTTCTTCCAGAGGACCCAGGCTCAGGTCCCAACATCTATGTCAGGGTGACTCAGAGTCGCACATGCTCCCAGTTCCAGGGAACACAATGCCCTTTGGCCTCCTTAGGCACCAGGCTTAAGTGTGGTGCACTTAAACTAACAGACACACAAACATATACATAAAGCCAGGCGGTGGTGGCGCACGCCTTTAATCTCAGCACTCGGGAGGCAGAGGCAGGCGGATCTCTGTGAGTTCGAGGCCAGCCTGGTCTACAAGAGCTAGTTCCAGGTCAGGCTCCATAGCTACAGAGAAACCCTGTCTCAAAAAACAGGGAAAAAAAAAGCTAAAATGTATACATAAAATAAAAATAAATAAATCTGAAAAAAAAAAAGACTGAGACTGGGAAAGATTTCCTGTTTGTTTTGGTTTTGGAGACAGGATTTCTCTGTGTGGTCCCTGCTGCCTGGAAGGTCCTCTACAAGCACTAGGTGACTTGCTGCTCAGAAGGTGGCAATAGACCTCCAGAACCCTCCTCCATAGTATCTGTCCCGCTAGAGGGTCTGGTTCCCTGGAGTTGAACATTAAACAGCAACCCGCCAAGGTGACATTTTGAGATGCAAACAGGGGCTGGCAAGGGTGTGTGCACACACATTACTGGAATGCACTCATCATGTTAGTAATAAGTAAAAAAAGTACTTTTTTCTTTTAAAGATTTCAAATATTTCTACCCACTTATGTAAAAAAGAGAAAAGGAACAAAAATACATTATTTAAAAATCTTGTATTGTGCTGCATACTGCCTTCATATGTAAGTGCCCCAGTGAAGAACTTCTTCCCAGGCAACACGCAACACTGCTAATATATCAAAGTCAAAACATGTCTCCCTACCGATTATGAACAGCTAATTCTAGATACTAGTTTCCAAAGCTTGTAACTACTAACCTTGTTTCAACACAGACAATTTCAGTGACTTTCAACTTAGCCCTGAATCTTCTCTTCAAAGTTCCAGAGAATATTTGATTTTCATGCCTTCAGGTTGGGCAATGCTGATGCTCTAGAGCTTGTAAATTAGCTACACTGTGGCCACTGAGGAGGGGCTCCAGTGCACACACTGCACTCCTGAGGAGGGGCTCCAGCTACACACTGCGATCCTGAGGAGGGGCTCCAGCTACACACTGCGATCCTGAGGAGGGGCTCCAGCTACACACTGCGATCCTGAGGAGGGGCTCCAGGGTACACACTGCACTCCTGAGGAGGGCCTCCAGTGCACACTGCGCTCCTGAGGAGGGCCTCCAGTGCACACTGCGCTCCTGAGGAGGGACTCCAGCTATACATTGCACTCCTGAGGAGGGGCTCCAGCGCACACCACTGAACTCCTGCAGCTATCTAGCACCATGATTACAATGCTCAATGGGAATTAAGGGGCCAGCTTAGGATCAAATGTCTGACAGGGATAGCCTTAAAAAGACTGCTGCTTTCCTTGTATGGAACACAATTTCTCTGTCTTACAGGCCTTTCTTTCTAGTGATGTTTTTTATTGCCTTTACAATCTTGAATCGTTGTAGCTGTCATTTCCTTGCTTAACACGGATGACAAATGCATAGATCATCAGTAATAAGCAGCAAAGGTCTAAGTCCTTAACCAGGTGAGCAACTGTTCAGAGAGAAAGGTGCTGTATTTTGTCTCTTCTCTGAAATGCTGTGGCTTATATAGACTAGAATTTGGGTCTTTCATTTTTTGATAGCTTGAATATTAAAAACAATTTTGTATAGTTACCAGAACTTTCAAAAGACGCTACCCAAAATGTTAAAAGTCCTAGCAATGGCTCCTCATAGACTCTGGATCAGCTGCCATTCCTCTGACAGAGGGAAGCAGGAAGCTTTGTGGCAACTTTGAAGAGGCGTTACCTGAGCCTGGAGCGAACACACTCCATCCTGGGATCATGACTCTCCTGAATGTGCCCCACATAGCACACTCAAGACATCAAGACAGAGAGTGCACCACTAATAGTTAAAGCTGTTTCTTCCAAGATTAGTCTCATGTACGGGAAGCAAAGTGGTCCTCTCTGACGCTGAGCTTGGACAACTCTGAGGAAATCCTCAGATTATGAAAACCAATTCGTATATGCTGATATTAAAGCTTCAAGACTGGTCGGTCGGCCAAACAGAAACTCCAGACCTTTAAGCCTAAGTCTAATGACTGCTGAGGTCAAGAGACCACCTAACAATTTTACTCAGACTCCAGATGCCTCTTCTGTTCGGACAACACCATCAGTTTAAAGAAAGGGCCTAAAACCACAGCACAGGCCCAGCTCTTCAGAGAGGACGCCTGGATAAGGCATACGGTAGAGCTGTCCTAAGAAAGAATTTACTTATTTGTTTATTCTTGGTTTTGTTTTTCTAAGACAGGCTTTCATTCTGTAGCCCAGCAAGCCGCAAACTTGTGGAAGTTCTCCTACTTTAGCCTTATAAATACTAGGATCACAGCAGTGAGCCCAACAAGGGATGTAAACAAGAACTGAGTGAGCTCGTGACTAGTCCAGATCCAGAAGCAGTTCTCAAAGCGCCAGTCTTCAAAGATAAAGGAAGGCAAGACACTGAAAAAAGAACAAGTATGTTCAAGAGAGACCTTCCCTCTACGTTTCCGTTTCTGTCTCGCCTTTGGGTCAAACGCGCAGTCCTCAGGCTCATCACGGGAACACTTTCTGACCCCATATGCCATGTCTTCCTGGTGTAAACACACAACAATATCTCCCTAATCACTTCATAATCTACAACAGGAGTCCGTGCCACAGATGCCTACTCACCTTTAGCACCAATCTCTTTATCGTTAGTTTCCCTATGCAATATTTTGTTCTGTCTCCAAGATACACAGTGTGGAAAAACAAGGTAGAGAGGTCCTTCTGTGAGACAGTACCAGGAAGCTCAAGTTGAAGGATGGTGGGAGTAGACAGCAAAGTTCCTTTTGTAAACTTAGTCAAGTGCACACGGTATACATATTCTCCTGGGTATAAACAATTTACACAAATTAATTTACGTCAGCAACATAACCAAAACAATGGCAGATCAAATTCCCCTGTGACAATCAAGGAGTGGGCAGTGCTCTGAGGGCTAAAAAGTCAGAGTCGCTGAAAACGCCCAGTGGCCATGGCCCCCTCGCCAGTGGCATTTAGGGTAGCAGGAAAGAGAGTGGACAGTGTGCACGTTATTGCAGGTACTGGGCTGTCGGGCAGCACCGCAGTTCACAGCAGGGATGTCACACTTCCCTCAGGTTACCGAGTCTTTCTTCTTCCTGAACGGCGACTTCAGCCTCCTCCACACACTGCTTTTGGGTTTAGACTTTTTCTCCATGGCCAATACTAATTCCTTTTCTTTCTTCCGAATCTCGCGAACAAGAGCATGGAAGACGTCATCGATGTAGTAACGGTACGCAGCAGAGGTCTCGAAGAACGGACAGCTGAACTCTCGCGCCAGAGATAACCCCTCTTCCTTGGAGACCTTCAGAGGCACAAACATGAGAAAATGTATAGTGCACGGACAGGGCTCCCCGCTGGAGAGGGGCCAGCAGAGAACACAGCCCCGGGGCACTGAGGGCCCAAGCCGTGTACCACAGGACTCCCAATCACAGGGTTCTATTTCCAGTGTACTTACCAGATTGCTGTTTTAAAGACAGAGTCTCTTGTAAGTCTTCCATCTGTACCTCAGGAGTGCCTGGATAACATGTGTACGCCACCATGCCTGCTTTCATGCAGGGTTAGGGACAGAGCCCACATAATTTTTCAATTGTTTTGTCAAGACAGGGTTTCTCTGTGTAGCCCTAGCTGCCCAGGAACTTTGTTCTGCAGATCAGGCTAGCCTCAAACCCAGAGATCCAGCTGCCTTCTGTCTCACACCCAGCTTCCTGCATAGTAGGCAGACACACTACCAACTGAACTTTACAACTCAGCCTCTCTTTTTTCTTTTCTGAGGCAAGGCTTCCCTCTGGTCTGGAGCTTGTCAAGTAGGCTGGCCAGCAAACCCCAGGCTTCTGCCCGTTTCCAACTCCCTAGTGTTGGGGTTATAAACCATCATGCCTGGATTTCAAAACAAAAACAAGAAATGAAATCTATGCAGGGCGGTGGTGGCACACACATTTAATGCCAACACTTGGGAGGCAGAGGCAGGCGGATCTCTGTGAGTTCGAGGCCAGCCTGGTCTACAGAGTGAGTTCCAGGACAGCCAGGGCTACACAGAGAAATCCTGTCTCACTGAACTCAGGCCTCAGACCCTCTTAAAAAAAGGTGCTTTACTGACTGAACTGAGTCTCCAATCCTTTCAGTGGAACTTTTGGAAACAGATATTAAGTAAATACACATATTGATAATGATAGCTTTATGCTTTTGATTTTTCAGGACAGGGTTTCTCTGGGAAGCTTTGGAGCCTGTCCTGGAATTCCTTCTGCAGATCAGACTGGCCTCAAACTCAGAGATCTACCTGCCTCTGCCTACTGAGTGCTGGGATTAAAGGTGTGCACCACCACTGCCCAGATTTATTTATATTTTGGATTATTATTATTTTACGTGTGTGGGTGTCTTGCCTACATGTATGCCTGTGTACATGTATGTGCCTGGTACTCCTGGAGGCCAGAGGCATCAGATGCCCTGGAACTGGGGTTACAGATGGTTCTGAGTCATGTTAATGTGAACGCTGGGATGGAGGAGTCCTCCGCAAGGGTAACCAGTATTCTTAACCTCCGACCCTAAAGTTTCCATTAGTTTTATTAAGTGTTCATTTATTTACTGTATGTGTAAGGCCTAAATCCCAGCACGTGTGTAAAGTCAACAGAGAATCAGCTGGCAACTCTGTGGAAATGGTTCTCTTGTTTCACCTCTGTGTGGATTTTAGGGATTGGATTCAAGCCACCGTATTTCCAGGCAAACAAGCGCCTTTACTGAGACTTCTTGTTGCCCTTAGCTTTATTGATAGATAAACTTTTATTTTGTAGAGCTGGGGATTGAACCCTCGTCCCTGTGTATGCTAGGCAGGAGCTCTACCACTAAACTACAGCCAAACGTCCTTTCTGATGATCCAGGAAGCTAACCGCTCATGATCCTCACTTAATGAGTATTCTACTGCCATCTATTGGTGTGCTGACTGACTGCCTGGGCCTAGGGGTACAAACCCTCAGCTGCCCTCTCATGTGTGGTGATCCTCCTGCCTACCTGTTAAATGCTCAGGTTATAGGTTATTATGTGTCTAAAACCCTGTGCATTGATTTCTAAAAATCCAGATTTTATATATTATAACAGGAAACTTATAGCTAAAGGGACATTTCCAAAGCTAGGGATAGGATAATTTTCATTTTCTATTTTAAGGCAAAGCAATCTTCAAGAAACAAACAACCACCCACAACATTGCAGGCCTTGCTTCTCACCTGCCGCAGCTGTTTCAGGTCTGATTTGTTTCCCACGAGAACCACTGGTGTGTCGTCAGTGCGTCTGACGCGGTAAATCAGCTGTTTAAACTCCCGAACTTCATGAAAACTTCGGCGATCCGTGATCGAGTAACAGATGATAAATCCTTCTCCTGCCCTCATATACTGATCCCGCATGGCTGTAAACTCTGCCTGGAGGGAAGCAAAGGTCCATGAAATGCATTGCTGCAATCAGACCTGCCCGCACACCGGCTAATGGAAGGCAAGAGAGACAAACTAGTGATTCTGTCCATAGACGCCTGCCCCCTCCAAGAGGACACACTCTACCCACACAGTTCTGGGTTCAGTACCTGCCCGGCTGTATCCAAAATGTCCAGGTTGGCAGGCTCATCGTCGATGCGGATCCGGATCTTGTATGCATCCTCTACAGGTGGGAGGAACACACATGCGGGAAGAAGCAAGGATCTGAAAACTTGCCCCACAGAAGAGGCAGTCCTGTCCAATTTTATTCACTTATTTTGGTAGAGGCAGACCTCGAATCCAGGGGTTCAAACGGTGGGCGAATGCTCTACCCCTGAGCTATATTCCCAGGCTTCAGCTCCTTACGTTTGCTCTCAGGCGTTGGCATGTACACATGTAAATGCATGAATGCTCATGTGTGAATGGGTGCACATGTGCATGGAGATCCAGGGCTCATACTGGATCTCACTAGGCAGCTTGCTCAATGAAGCCTGTCTTTGACTGTGGAGGCTGGAATTTCATGTAAGTCAGTTACCAGGGTTCTGGGGATCTGAACTCAACTCTGCTTCTAGCTTATAAAGCAAGCGCTCTAACCTCCAAGCCATCTCCCCAGCCCACCAAGTTCTCTAAGGAATTTTATTATTAGTGATGTATATGTACATGCATGATGTATGTGTGTATGTATGTGTATGCATATGGAGGTCAAGGGTCAAATTTATGAAGTCAGCTTTTCCCTACACCTTTATATGCACTCTAAGTCACAGCACAAGTAGGGCAAGTGCTCTTACCGGCTGAGCATCTCAGCGGCCCCTGGATTGTTTTTATGTGCTTAATTTTCTCAGGATGCTATAAAGTCATCAAAATATGTACACTAGTTTTTCTTTGTTCATGGGTGGTCATGTATTTTTTTGTTTTGTTTTAAAAAGGCTTATTTATTTATTATATATTTATTAATCTGTGCACAGAGTTCTGTCTGCAAGCCAGAAGAGGGCACCAGATCTCATTACAGATGGTTGTGAGCCACCATGTGGTTGCTGGGAATTGAACTCAGGATTTACGGAAGAGCAGCCAATGCCCTTAACTGCTAAGCCATCTCTCTAGCCCTTGTTTTGTTTTTTGAGATAGAGTTTCTTTGTAAAGCCTTGGTTGTCCAAGAATTAGCTCTGTAAACCAGGCTGGCCTCAAACTCACAGAGATCCATTTGCCAGCACTCAGGAGGCAGAGGCAGATGGATCTCTGTGAGTTTGAGCCCAGCCTACAAAGCAAGTTCCAGGACAGTTAGCACTACACAGAGAAACCCAGTCTCAAAAATAAAAAAATAGGCCGGGCGGTGGTGGCACACGCCTTTAATCCCAGCACTCGGGAGGCAGAGGCAGGCGGATCTCTGTGAGTTCGAGACCAGCCTGGTCTACAAGAGCTAGTTCCAGGACAGGCTCCAAAGCCACAGAGAAACCCTGTCTCGAAAAACCAAATAAATAAATAAATGAAAAGAAGGAAGGGAGGGTGGGAGAGAGGAAGGGAGAAGAGAGAAAGAAAGAAAAAGATGGCCTTAGTCACTGTGCACTGCTGTGAAGACACCACAACCAGGGCTCTCAGGAAGCAAAGCATTTAACTGGGCTGGCTTACAGTCTCAGAGCGTTAGTCTGTAGCTATGGCGGGGAGCATGCATGATGTGAGAGCAGCAGCTCAGTGCTGTGTCCTGTTGCACAGGCTGAGAGAAAGCGAGTGGAGACTGGGCCTGCCGTGGGCTTTTGAAAGCTCAAATCTCACCCTGTGATACTTCTAACAAGGCCATAATCCTAACCTAATCCTTTCCAACAGTTTCATTCTCTGTCACTAAACATTCACATACATGGACCTGTGGGGGTCATTCTTATTCAAACCACCACAAGGACTCTTTTTTGTTGTTGTTGTTTTGTTTTGTTTTTCGAGACAGGGTTTCTCTGTAGCTTTGGAGCCTGTCCTGGAACTAGCTCTTGTAGACCAGACTGGCCTCGAACTCCCAGAGATCCACCTGCCTCTGCCTCCTGAGAGCTGGGATTAAAGGTGTGCACCACCAACACCACAAGGATTCTGAAAGAATTTCTTTTAAAACAGTAGGTCAGGGGCAGGGGAAGTGGCTCAACTGGTACTGTTGTGCTATGCAGGCCTGGCGACCTGAGTTAGAAGCCCAGGATCCACATGAAAGTAGGACGGACAGAACTTCACACGTTTGCTGTGGCATCTATGCCTACACACACAGCATGCACATTAAAAAAAATGTAACCGCTAGGCGCAGTGGTGCATGCTTTAGTCCCAGCTGCCATTTATTAACGCACATACAGAACATTAGGCTAGGCAAACTGTAAAGCACTATCATTTCCACCTTACAGAGAAGGTAAACGAGGGGTGGTGGACACACCCTTAATCCCACCACTGGCAGGGGCAGGCAAGGGGCAGAGGCAGGCAGATCTCTGAGTTTGAGGCCAAACGGGGTTGCAGGTGAAACTGTCTTAGAAAAAAAAAAGACTTAGAAAGAATTAAAAGGCTAATCCTAAAATCCTGAATGTCTTCTTAACTGCAGTTCAGTGGTGATGGAGCCAGCATACACTGCGGTTCCTCGACACCTCACCCACAGCACTGGTTTTAAAAGGTGGAGTCCCCGTGCCTGGATACTTTTGTTTAAAGACTTACTTTTATTTTATGCATGTGAGTGTTATGGCTGAAAGTGTATTATGTGTGTCTGATGCCCTCAGAGGTCAGGATATGGTATCAGACTGCCTGGAACTGCAGTACTAGATGGCTGTGAGCTGTCGTGATGGTGCTGGAAACCCTGTCTGCGACCCTGTGAGCACAGTGTCCCTCACAGCTTCACTATTTTCTAGAAAATGTCACAACCCCTCCATTTCGAAACCAAGCTCTTTTCTGCATGTTACTGTCAGGTGCAACACTGTGTTAAACGCAGGTCGTAAGCATGTGACCTGAGTGATCTTTAGCCCTTTACAAAATTTTAATTTTATTACATTTTTGCTATTTATTTTTTGTTTTGTAGATAGGGTCTCACTATGTAACCCTGGCTGGCCAACTTGATATGGAGACCAGGCTGTCCTGGAACTCCCAGAGCTTCGCCTGCCTCTGCCTCCCAAGTGCTGGGATTACAGGCATGCGCCACCACCACCTGGCTCACATCTACCTTCTTCAATGTAGATTTCTATAATCATGGAAAACACAGAAAAGTAAAAGAGAATCAAATGCCACACAGGGTGGTGCAGGGCTTGAATCCCAGAACTCACGAGAAAGAGGCAGGCAGATCTCAAGGCCAACCTGGTATACAGAGTAAGGTCCTGGGCTGCCAGGACTATGCCAAGAAACCCTGTCTCGAAAAAAAAAAAAAAAAAAAAAAAAAAACTAGCCACATACACCCCAAATTAAATCCTCTTAACATTTTCAAACCAATGATGTTCTTTTTTTTAATATTTATTTATTTATTATGTATACAATATTCTGTCTGTGTGCCTGACGGCCAGAAGAGGGCGCCAGACCTCTTTACAGATGGTTGTGAGCCACTATGTGGTTGCTGGGAATTGAACTCAGGACCTTTGGAAGAGCAGGCAATGCTCTTAACCACTGAGCCATCTCTCCAGCCCCCAATGATGTTCTTTAATAGGTTCTGCGTACATGTCGGCACACACATGCCACATGGTGCAGGTGGAGTTCAGAGGACAACTTTCCTTCCACCATGTGAGACTCAAGGATGGAGCTCAAGTTATCAGGCTCGGCAGACTCGCCATCCCATGACCCAGCATGGCTATGGAGGGGAGAGGACGTGCAGGAACTGATTCTCACCTTCTACCATGGGAGTTACCGGGATCTCACGCCAGGCTTGGTGACAGGTGCCATCTCACTGGTCCCCAAACTAGATTTTAATTTCAGTCACACAGATATGTGCTTCTGTGTGAGTCTATACATGTACTCACTCACAGCACTCAAGACACACAAGCATTTGCTGCTGAGTCACACAGCGCTGTCAGAGAGCAGCAGTCGGGTAAAAAAATGTACTGATTGACGGTTCCTGCAGATGGCCTGGGTTTGGCTCACAACACCCCTATAAGAGCTTATAACATTCTGTTAACTCCAGTCCATGGGATCGAACGCCCTTCCTCTGCCTCTGCAAGCACCAGGCGCACTGTGGTGCACAGACACATACAGGAAACATCTATAGCCATCAAATAAAAAATCAGTCTTTTAAGCCCTGAATTCAATCCACAACACTGCAGACAAACCGGTGAAACCTTCTTGGGGTGAAAAAATATGAATTTTATCTTAAAAATAAGAGAGCTGGGGACTTAGTGTGATAGTGTGTTTGTCTAGTGTACCCAAGGTCCGGGTTCAACCCCAAGCACAACAAAAAGATTGTTTAATGTCGCTTATAAAAAATTAAATACAAAAAGAAGTACGAGATGGCTCTGGAGCTCTTTTGGATTTTAGTTTATCTAAAGATATTTCTATTATTATGTATGCACATGACTCTAACAGTGGGTGTGCAGAGGTCAAGAGACCACCTTTGTGGACTCGGGTTTCTCCTCCCTCTCCTCCCACCTTTACATGGGTTCAGTTGAAATTCAAGTCACCAGGCTTTTGGGGCGAGCACCTTTCCACTGATGTTAAGGTGGAGGTTATAGAAGTAGAGTTTTGTTTTCAGTGAAGGAGACCTGGGGAAGTCGGATTTCCTTCTCCATGAGCTACCATGGTAAAACAAAAGACAACCAGTGGTCCCCATGCTCTGAACTGTTGGTCAGGGTTATAACACAGCACACGAGAACAGACAGAACGTGGGCATGACCAAAGAAAATTCTGCCCATTTTGATAGTCTAAAAACCTATACAGGAGAAGAGAATAAAGAAGGTGTAGGAACATATCTATCCTACCAAGGAGTGAAGTGGGCCTAGTAGACCCTGAAGCCTGAGCTCAGGGTCTGGGTTCCCAGCCCAACTAAGGTGACTAAGTGACATTTTCCAGTCAGTCTCTAGGTGTGGCTAGTTATCACCATAAACAAGGGCAGAATAACGCGGTGGGTGTGGTAGGCTGCCAGCCAGTCTTCCTACACTCAGGAACCAGCAGTGCAGGAGGGCATGCATGGCAAACATGCAGCCTGCAGGGCAGAGGGTAGATACTGACCCTGCCTGGCCACCTAGCCAGCACAGGCAATGTCCTTCTAGTGCAGCATCACTGGAGTCACGAGTGGGTGGCCTAGCGCTAACGCTTGGCACTGAGTAAACAATCCTAACCCTGAAGTCACTTTCTTTAGTTCCCATGCCGCAGCTGAATCTCTGAAACAATCTCTAAAGTTGACAGAGCAGAGCTAGGATGCAGCTCAGTGGTACAGCATAGACTTAGCCTGTGTGAGGCCCCAGGCTTGATCCCTACCACAAAAAATAAATAACTCCCATAGAGCTCAATAAAAAGACAAGTGTTCCCACTTTCCCCAAACCCACAGAAGCACATGCTAAATGAAATGACCACAGCCACAGCATGGCAGGCTTTTGTTTTGTTTTGACAGAGGGCTTCATTAATCCTCTTGGCCAGCCTATAACTCTTTCTGTAACCCAGACTGGTGAATTCGCATTCCTTTGCCTCCCAAGGGCTGGGGTTACAGATGTGTGCCGTCACTCCCAGCTAATGGGAGCTTCTGTCCCCTCCTCAACCCTACTCTTCTTTTATATAATCACTCAGAATCAAAACTGCTGCTGGGTGGTGGCACAGGCCTTTCATTGCAGCAGAGGTAGGCGGAACTCTGAGTTCGAGGTCAGCCTGGTCAACAGAGAGCAAATTCCAGGACAGTCAAGGCTACACAGAGAAACCCTGTCTCAAAAAAACAAAACAAAAAACAAAACAAACAAACAAGCAAAAAACCCCACAACTGTTTCCTAATGATTTAGGAGTGAGGAACATTCTCAGTCAACAGAAGATAGCAACCAAAAACAACAATAATACAGCCCACATGCCATAGACCTGGGCTTGGTAGCTCAGGCCTGTAATCCCAGACTAAGCCGTAAGGTGTGCTGTGTGTTTAAGGCTAGCTTGGGCTCAATCTTTTATCAAAAGAAAACAACAACACAACTTAAACAACACAAAACAAAACTGGGGATACAGCTCAGTGGTAGAGCCCTTGCCTGGTGTGCTTGGTCTGAAGTCTCAGGCTCAATCCCCAGCATTAAAAAAAGACTGATTTACTCTATTGGCACTCTAAAGATGACAAAGATACAGATGATGTTGCTATATACCCAGCTGCAGGGATAAGGAAATAAATCAAGAGCTTCCAGTGGAAGCTCGGTCTAAGAGTTCAATAGGCTGGCTCTACTTGTTTTTCTGCTTCCTTTTGTGGAAGTTCAAACCAGCTGACTCACACTGCCAGGTTAGTCTCATGTCAGAGCCTCAGAAGCGATAGCCAGAGATGGTTTCGTGGAGTAGCCTTTAAACCTTCCTTTAATCTAACGATACAGAATACATTCAGTGAAAAAAAGAGAAACTTTGTCTATTAATGCTCAACCTAACCCAAAGACTAAAGGTGGCATATGAAGTCTAGGAAAAAAAGTAAACGGTTTATCCTTGTTTCTAAATAAGTATGAATTACATACACAAAAAAGCTCAAGATATAAATACTACTTTTTAAACTTTAACTCTATTAAGATACTTTCACAGGATGTACCTGAAATATAAATAAGAATCTGACTTACCAATGGTGGGGTCATGATCTTCTGGGAATCGGTGGCTTATGAACTGCATTGTCATGGCTTCAAAACAAGAAATGGAACTCATGACGGTGACCATGAAGTAATTTAACTATCAACTTTGCACAAGAGCCAGTAACCCATCTGGTGCTTTTCAAACTTTTCTGTCAAATAGAAACGGTTACCTACCGCTCTTCCCGACGCCACCAGCACCCAGCATCACTAGTTTGTATTCCCGTGACAGCGCTGCAGGACTACTACAGCTGCTACCAACTGGGCGAGCTCCGGAGTCCATTGTCCTTACAGCAGTCCAGGGCCCCTAGGAAAGGCCTCCTAGGGAAGGCACAAAACATTCAGTCCAGGATGGAGACAGTCGGCCAGTCTGAGTCCCAGCCTCCCACAAACACCGCGGCCTACCCTGCTCTTTGCGGAACACTAAGAAACCCAGGTCTTCTCCCTTCCCCGTTAGTCTCAGTCCTAAAACACGGCACAGATTTCTAAACTTACTTTTTACAGAAAAAAAAAAAAAACAACTTGGGCTTTTCTTCAGATTGAGGCAGTGTGCCAATAGGAAGGAGCCAGAAGCGTGCTGAGGGCTGCCTGGTACCGCCAGGTCTTCTTCAGGTTGCCGCCCCCGCTTTCCCTCCTCCCGTCCCTGCCCACCTGTGCCCGCACCTCTGAAGGAAGCCCTGAGTCCGGGTTGCAGACCTGATTCCTTCCCGAGCGGCGCCGTACAACCCACTGCCCCGCCCGGGTCCAGGAAGATGGCGCCGGTGGGCGGGGCTTAACCCTAGCCCCGCCCCCAAGCCGACAGGGACTCTGCTCCGCCCCACGCCTAGGTCTGACTCGCAAAGCCCTCTGGTCACATACTGGTCTAAGGTTTGCAAGGACGGAAATGGGTGATCCACTAATCGAAACAGAAACCTTTAATGTGAGTAACTTAGGGTTGTTTGCTACCGGGAGGAAAATCCCCGCAATCTTACCAAAATACAGGATTTTATAAGTATAGTCATTGCTACATAGCAGTGCTCCTTTTTCCAAAAAAACTGTCATATTTAACGATCCTGTGACCAAGACAGATGTTCTGAGCACCCAGTTATTCTAATTGGAGTTCTGTGTGCTAAAAACATTAAGCCATATATGATGGCACACGCCTACTAACCCCGCATGAAAGGTATTGTTGGCAGCAAGCAGTTCAAAGGTCAGTCCTGGATACATACTAAGTTACACATTACATAGGCTGCATGAGACTGTCTTGTTGCTTTTTTTTTTTTTTTTTTTTGGTTTTTCGAGACAAGGTTTCTTTGTAGCTTTGGAGCCTATCCTGGAACTAGCTCTGTAGACCGTGCTGGTCTTGAACTCACAAATAAACATAGAACTCTCAGCAAAGGAATCTAAAATGGCTGAAAGACACTTAAGGAAATGCTCAGCATCCTTAGTCATCAGAGAAACCCAAATGGCCAAGATCAAAAACACTGATGACAACTTATTCTGGGAGGTTGTGGGGAAAAGGGAACACTTCTGCATTGCTGGTGGGAATGCAAACTGGTCCAACCCCTTTGGATGTCAGTGTGGCGATTTCTCAGAAAATTAGGAAACAATCTTCCTCAAGGCCCAGTGATACCACTTTTGGGTATATATCCAAAGGATGCTCAATTGTGCCACAAGGACATGTGCTCAACTATGTTCATAGCAGCTTTGTTTGTCATAGCCAGAACCTGGAAACAACCTAAATATCCCTTGACCGAAGAATGCATAAGGAAAATGTGGTACATTTACACCATGGAGTACTACACAGCAGAAAAAAATAACATCTTGAATTTTGCAGGAAAATGGAGCTAGAAAACATTATTTTGAGTGAGGTAACACAGACACAGAAAGACAAATATCACATGCACTCACTCATAAGTTTTATTTTATTTTTTTTGGTTTTTTTTGAGACAGGGTTTCTCTGTGGTTTTGGAGCCTGTCCTGGAACTAGCTCTTGTAGACCAGGCTGGTCTCGAACTCAGAGATCCGCCTGCCTCTGCCTCCCAAGTGCTGGGATTAAAGGCGTGCCCCCACCACCGCCCGGCTCATAAGTGACTTTTATACAAAGAAAAAACAACCCATAAATCACAATCCCAGAGAACGTAGGCAACAATGAGGACCCTACGAGAGACATGCATGGATCTAATCTACATGAGAAGTAGAAAAAGAGAAGATCTCCTGAGTAAATTGGGAGCAAGGAAACCATGGGAGAGGGTTGAAGGGGAGGGGAAAGGCAGGGAGGGGAGCAGAGAAAAATGTAGAGCTCAATAAAATCAATAATAATAATAATAATAATAAAGCCTCCCTTTTAAAGAAAAAAAGAAGCTGCTTTGGGCCTCTGGCAGTGTAAAATAGACCAAGGTGGAATTCTAAGCAGAGATAGAGGAGAAAAAAAGGTGGTGTGAGAGAGATGACATGTAGCCCATGTAGCAGAAGCAGAAAGATGCCCGCCCACTGGAAACTTATGGATAAACCACAAGCCTTGTGGTAAAATGCAAAATAATAGGAATGGGTTAATTTAAGAGGCAATAGTTAAGAGGTCTGGGCTAATCGGCTGAACAATGTTTTAATTAATACAGTTTCTGTGTGATTACTTTGGGGATGGGAGACCTGGAAATGAACAGTCTCTGCCTACATTTTATTTTTCCAAATGCTAGCTAGCCAGACATGCCTAGAAAACCAACATTTTGGAAACAGAGGCAGAAGGTATTCTTCAAGTCTGTCTGATCTAAACATCAGAGCTTCAGGGCAGCCAGTGCTAAATAATGAGACCCCTAATCTCCAAAAAACCCAAAGTGGGGAAGGACTGGGATGTACCTCAATGGCAGAATTTTACCTAGCATGGACAAAGTTCTGGGTTCAAATGCCAAAAAGACAAAACAGAAAATAAAATAGGGGCTGGAGATGGTTCCGTGATTAAGAGCACTGGCTGCTCTTCTAAAGGACCTGGACTCAATTCCCAGCACACACATGGAAGTTCACAAACTCCTGTAATCCAGTTCCAAGTGATTTGACATCTTCACACAGACCATACATGCAGGCAAAACCTCAATGCACATAAATCTTTAAAACAACAACAAAAAGCTAAGAAGTGGTGGCAAGTATTTTTAATCCCAGCACTAGGAAGGAAGGAAGCAGGTGGATCTGAGTTTAAGGCCAGCCTCGTGCATAAAGTACGTTCCAGTACAAGCCAGAGCTATCCTGTATGAGACAGAGAAAGACAGAGAGAGAGAGAGAGAGAGAGAGAGAGAGAGAGAGAGAGACAGAGACAGAGACAGAGACAGAGAGACAGACAGAGAAAGAGAGACAGAGAAGAAAAACATTCAAATGTCTTTTGGCTGGGCAGTAGCTGTACTACCCTGAACTACACAGTGACATGTTAAAAACCAGGTAGAGGGGCTGGAGAGATGGCTCAGCTGTTAAGAGCATTGGCTGCTCTTCCAAAGGTCCTGAGTTCAATTCCCAGCAACCACATGGTGGCTCACAACCATCTGTAATGAGGTCCGGTGCCCTCTTCTGGCCTGCAGGCATACACGTAGAAAGAATATTATATACATAATAAATATTAAAACAAAACAAAACAACCAGGTAGAGCCAGGTGGTGGTCATACATGTCTTTAATCCCAGAAGGCAGCAGCAGATGATTCTTCGTTAGTGCAAGGCCAGCCTGGACTACAGACTGAGTTCCAGGACAGCCAGGGCTAAACAGAGAAACCCTATCTCCAAAAACCAAAACCAACCAAACAAACAAACAAAAAAACAAAACAGGAAGAAGGCCAAGTGTAATGGCCATCTTTAATCCCAGCTCTCTGGAAAAGGATAGTCTGTTTTAGAGTTCCAAGTCAGCCAGGGCTGCATAGTGAGACAAAAGACAAGGCCAGCAAGGTGCCTCAGGTTTTAAGTGCTTGCCAAGTGTGATCCCCGGACCACAGCGTAAGGAAAGAACTGAAAACTATCATTTTTAAGATCTATTTATATTTTATTTTTTGGTTTTTCGAGACAGGGTTTCCTCTGTTTAACAGCCCTAGCTGTCCTGGAACTAGCTCTTGTAGACCAGGCTGGCCTCGAACTCACAGAGAGCCACCTGCTGTGAGTGCTGAGATTAAAGGCGTGCGCCACCACTGCCTGGCTGATCTACTTATTTTTCTATAGATGTATTTGCAAGATATATGTATGTGTGTGTGTGTGGTGTTATCTTGTTTGTGTTCTAACAAAGAGCTTGCATGAAGATCAGAGGGCAGAGCTAGTTAGACCACTGAGGTCTGGCGGTCTGTACAGACAGGAAGTGATGTGGCTGGGCAGAGAGTGGAAAGAGGAGGGGACAGTAGTTAGGCCATTTTTTGGCTGAGGATTTAGCAAAATAAAGGGTGCCTTAATTTGTTCCTTTCTCTGATCTTTCAACACTTGCCCCAGTATCTAACTCTGGGTTTTTAGTATTAAGACCAATTAGGACACATGCAATACAGATGCAGCTCTCCTTGGGGGCCAGAAGCACAGTGAACCCACCTCAAAAATAAAAACAAATAATTGAAGGAAAAGTTAGAAAATAGGAAATACAAAACTTAAAAATCTTTTAATATTTCATTTTGACTTTATAAAGTCAAGGAGCATATGAAAATATTAGAGCCTGTTAAGTTTTTCTTGGGTAGAGAAATAAGTGCACCATGCTATGAATAAAGAATTTATCTAGGGGCTGGAGAGATGGCTCAGAGGTTAAGAGCACTAGCTGCTCTTCCAGAGGTCCTGAGTTCAATTCCCAGCAACCACATGGTGGCTCGCAACCATCTGTACTGAGATCTGGCATCCTCTTCTGGCGTGTGGGCATACATCGAGGCAGAATGTTGTAGACATAATAAATAAATAAATTAAAAAAAAAAAAGAATTTATCGAGGGACTGTAGAGATAGCTCAAAGGTTAAGAGTATTCGCTGCTCTTCCAAAAGACCTGGGCCCAATTCCCAGCAACCACATGACAGCTCACAATTATCTGTAACTAGCTCCAGGGAATCTAATGTCTTCACACAGACATATATATGCAGGTAAAACAACAACGCACATAAGAAAAATAGAGATGAATAAATTACTTTAAAAAGTTTATTGCAGGGCTGGAGAGATGGCTCAACGGTTAAGAGCACTGGCTGTTCTTCCAGAGGAGCTGGGTTCAATTCTCAGCACCCACATGGCAGCTCACAACTGCCTGTAGCTTCAGATCCCTGGAAGCTTTACACCAATGCACATATAATAAAGTTAAAATAAATTTTTAAAAAGTTTATTGTAATAGTGTATGAATAGGCCACAGAAGAAAAAGAACTGACAAGTAGATTATTTATACATTTATTTATAATGAAATTATGGTCTAATTATTTACAACATAGAGGAAACCAGAGAATAAGTTTGTACAAAGCCAGTCTCCAAAGTATTCAAAAGTGTGCAAAATGACAGTATCTCAAACACTCTCGGCTCAGCCACCACCAATTCCTTCACTTCCACACGTCAATATTTGATACAAAAAAGTTCGTTTGGCAAAACCTGCCATGCCAAGAAAAGAGGAGACGCTGCGATTCCAGCCAGAGCCACCATCCTATGGGTGTCGTCCCATCTTTCTTCTGCCACAACCAGTTCAGAGAGACAGACAACTGTGTTTCCTTCAGTGGTGAGTTCTGACCAGCTCTGACCAGCTTTTTAGTCACATTTTCTTTGACTCAGCTGGAAACAAGAAGTTCAGGACCCGGGCAGTAACAAGAGCAATGGCTGCCTGAAACAAGCGTGGCAAAAGACGCCAACTCTGGATCATCCCAGGGAAGAAACAAAGCAGAAATAACTTCATTCTCCT